TTTGCAGTTTTCAAGGCAAGGTGTTTTGGAAGTGGTTTGCCAGTGCCTCCTTCCTAGAGCAAAGCCCAGCTGGCGAGCGCAGGAGGCGGGGTTTCTGTTGTTTCGCGCCTTTTTCGGGAGAGCGCGGCTTCCGCGCGACCGGCAACTGCTCCCAACTCCTTTTTGCAAGGCACTGCCAGCATTTTTCCTCCCACCGGAGTGAGAGTACCTATTTATCTACTCACGTAAGTTTTTGAATTGTTGGGTTGACAGGAACTGGGGGAGGAAGCAGGAGCTCACTCTGCTGTGCGAAGGCTGGCCTCGAACCACTGAAGTGTCGACCATTTTTGACCAGCAGCTTTCAGCGTCATTAAGCCGCTGCGCCACCGCGTCCCCATAACTTTGTTTTATATCTACCTATTTGTGTCTAGCAGCAAGCTGGAAACTATTTAAAGCTGGAATTTGTGCCAAGAAACCACTTCATGAAGTCTGAGTCAGCTCTTCCACCATTCATGAAATCTTCAGATCTTTTACAGTCTGCACTTTAATTATTTTCTAGATTGTTGTGAGTTTCTGAAAATAATATAGTGGCCCCAAAAAATTAAAAGCAAAAGCCGAGTCCAATGTATAGTGCTTACCTTTTAACCTCTCCTGTGGGCAATATGTTACAAAACACTGTACAGCAGCATCACTATGCTTAGGAGTGCTTGCAAAATTAATATTCCCTTCAACCTCTGGTTTTGGAAATAATATATCAGGTTCCTTGTATTCCTAGAACAAAATAAAATCATATATATTAATATAATGTTTTACAGCAACCCTCCAGAAGTTGCTCACCTATAACTCCAACAAACTCTCACCACTGTCCACTTGGCTGGCTGAAGCTTCTGAAAACTCTAGTTCCGTAGCTTCTAGTAAACTACAAGTTCCCAGTGCCTTATGTAAAATAATGCATCTGGTAGTGGACGGTGATTCGCCAAGATATATAACATAATAATTCAGGCAGCCTTTAAGGTACAACACAACTCTTTATCAATCTCTCTTAGAGACCACCCAATTTATGTATTGTTTCCAGAATGTTTTTTGTATGTTGTGAGCAGTCAAACTTGACTATAGACAGACCTGCCTTTAAAATAGTCATTAGTAATTCTTAAGAAGAAATTGCAACTGGAACTAACTCCTATGATTTGACTCACTAGGACTGGAATGGGCAATGTGCTTGTCATTAAGAGCAACCCCTGCATGTAGATGACACTGAAGGCTGTTGGAAACATGGCCAGTAGCATTATGTCATTAGAATGGGTGGGGCCCAGAATTTTGGGGAAGATTCTGGACAGTTAAAACACAAGGTAGGTATCTTTTCCAAAATGATAAAAATGGACTAAAACATGGGGAGGACTTCAAGGGAGGAATTAAGAGATGAGACAGATGTCTTGCAGCTCACAAAGGAATACAGCACCTACTTTTTCTCTTAACCTCCCTCCCCCATCGATTAAAACTTTTGTAGCTATACATTCCAAGGGTATTTTGGGAAAAAGCGTGTACAGCTGTCCACCCATGAATTGCCTATCCCTAGGCTTGTACAAGCTCCCAGTGATTGCGATAGTGTTCACACCCTTTAGCTGATTTGGGGCAGAATTGGCTGGCAAACTGCACTAAGAAGTATTGCTGCCTGAGCTTCAGCCTTGAGTTCTCCGCTCAGATTTGGAAGCTTTGAGTGAAGCATGAAGACAAACTATCTTTTGTTATCACCTCTGTCCATACTCCTGGCAGATTCAAGTTAGCCACCTCCATATAACTGAGCAGTGTCATTTTGAGATATAAAATAGCATCCAAGAGATGACCACTGGATGAAGCAGCATTGAATTCCTTCCCCAAATATCCCTCATCTTTTGAAGCCAATAAATGAGACCTGGGCAAGGAATTTAGGCTTTGCCTTCTGACAATTTATTATCTTTTTTCTGATGACTATTGGTGTTCTTGGTGAATGTATTTGTGTATTCATTTAGTCTGCCATCATTTGTTTCAGTGTGCTCTCACTCTTAATTGACTATCGGTTGCCTCTAATGGCAACATCTGATTGGCCAGATAACACTAGCCACGGCTATTATGATAACTAATTAAAAAAAAAAGGGAATAAAGGAGCAGCATCCAGGAGAAACAATAGCACAAAACATTCATATAATTCTTTTAAGAGGGGGTTATTTTTATTGGGGGTGGGCTAAAAAATGAACACTCGTGAATATTTAGCGAAGTCCCATATTATAGTATAAAAAGTAAAATGCATGATAAGATCTCTTCTGACCACAACTGGCTTCCCATTATTACTCCATCTGTGAAGGCAGCTTGTAGTCTTGTCAAGACAAGAAAAACTGTGCCAATGGTAATTTTTTGACAGCCAGCTGGTTCCCTTCTCTCAGTGGCTGCCACATATGTGCTGTAATGAATGCACACCAGAATGGCTTTGGAAACAAATGGCATACCCTTAAATCATATGCCAATGTATTTAGCTTTATAAAGTTTTTATTTTTCACATCAATAACCATTCCAAATTTCTTCTGACATTTTCGTTGTAAAAATAAACAACTTACTAAGTGAAATTAAAATATTAATTTAAAATACAGATTAACTGTTCTTAATTTTCCCAGATTAGCTGCAAAAAATTCCTATTTCCACAACAATTAAAAGCACATTTCCTTCTTTTAAAACTATTCACAAAGCCCTGCTAAATTGGGCTTTGTTTCACACAACTGAAATCACAGGATGTATATGCAGCATTCAGGGTACAGTGATAGTTGATTAAAACTAACTTTAAAAATTGGGCTACAGTCTAGGGCCCTCTGAAATCAATTGGGCATTAGTCATCTCCAAACTCAAGGTTTTTCAACCTTCTTCAGGCTGTGGAACCAATTTTGTGACTTGGAATATAAAGCTCAGATCTCCACTTCTTTTGGGCTTTCTACTATCAGGGAGAATAAGGACTTCCGGGGGAAAAAAAAAAGTTAAAAAGTAAAGTTTAGTCTGAAGTGGAATAATTATTTTTTTGCTATCATAACACTGCATTTTTGTGAAAAGGAAGAAGTTTACACAAAGCACAAAAACAAACCAAGATAAGACTCCAGGTTCATGTTTCAAATAAGGCCTATAAACAATTCATTGCCTAGTATCTGTTCATCAAAAAAGCAATAAGAAGTCAGAACAAATACTGGCCTAGCATCAAATGCAAACTAGGCCTGCTCTCTAGTGTGCATGTCAGACAACAATGTGGATGCCACATTTTGTGCGTGGCTGTATATTCTGAACCTTCCTCACAATATCAATATATGTCTGTTTAGGGAGTGGAAAAATAAGAAAACCCCATTTTTCCTTTACATCTTTCTAAAGCGGTAGATTTTTTTTTTTTTTTTTCTCATGAAGACTCATTTTCCTTCTTTCAGGATTCTCACTAGAAGCTGAGAATGTCATGAGGGCCTCATGGGTTCATGGGAATTGATCCAACAGACAGCACACAGTATCTTCTTGTGATTTTTTTCTCCTTTTTATTAGTATAAGGCAAATTAGTACTTTCATTTTAGGGCATGTAAAACAATGTAAACAGTATTTCACTTCAGCAGCTAAACAACAGCTAAACAAATCGGTTCCTTTCCCACCTCTTTCCTGCTTCCCTCAGGCCATTCTGATAAGTAGTGGTGATAGAGAAGCAGTCTTAAAGCAATAAAACAAAGGCTTGATTTATGTGTGCCTGTCCAAGCATTTCAAAATTTAAACATCTTTCTACAGGACATATGTGCACCTTCAGTGGTAGCAAATGTGTGCATTGCTAGATCAAGATTTCCTTCCTACTGAGGATTAAGGGGGTTAATTATGCTGATCACTAGTTTCTCTCAGGCTGGTATAATGTAGTCTTCCTCTCTTCTTTGTCAGAAGAAATGTCCCAGCATGCAACTTAAGGGTCTTGGGCCCCTCCGGATCATTCAGTGGTCTTCACTAGGGCAACACTGCCTAGTCCACTTCAGAGCCAGCCATTCCCCTACTTGGACCATATTTTTATATTACAGAGTAAGTAATGATCAGCAAATCTTGTTCAGGACTCAGGAGAGCAGAAACATGCATAAGATATGGATGCCACATCCAGGATAGTGTAGTAACACCCCAGAAGAGCAGCAAGGAGTTAGTGGTATGGACCCCTTTTCCCTTCCACCTACAAGAAATACCCATGGAGAAGGGTTTATTTAGTTGATTGAAGCAACTTGTATTTGTGTATTGCAGATTTCTCCAAACTTGCACTTAGAAGAAGCTGTCAAGGGGAGGGGACAAAAAAGCTCCTACTAATAGCAGTGTTTTCATAAACATATTCTTGGTAGAAGGTTGCATGTCTAGGTTCCCAAGATACTGATTAGATATGTCATCAGACCATCCCCAGATGCTGTCTACTAGACTGTGTTCTTTGGTCTAAAATATTCTTGGCAGAGGTTCTACTGTCTAAAGCTATGATCAAGTCCTTGGTAAGATGGGTTACCAAGCCATCTCTAGGTGTTACTGTCTATACTCTCTGTCCCTTAAGGAAAGTTTTTAAAAGGTGGTATATGTCCTCAGAGTGTTTGAATCTCATCATAGACCTAGAATTCTAGAGAGTGCTACACAAGTGCTGGCTTCAGGTGGTCCACCTGCCACCATTCTTGGGGTTCCTAGCAAGCTGAAGGGATGCAGATTAGTAATTTTTTCTCTGTTAACTCTCTTAATGTTTATTCAATAAAATCCTCTTTGTTGTTTTATCCTAGTTTGAATCCTAATGAACTTACTGGTTCATGAATGGCCACTGGGATTGCCAACACAGCTGCAAAACTCCAGATGACCACTAGGTGACAGAAAGAAGTTAGAATTTTCTATTTCTTTGGTGTTAAAGTGGTTGTTTAGATTTTTGAGCTCTAATCTGATAGTTCTACCATGAATAACAGGTTCAGCTGTATAAGATCAAACCCAAACAGAACATTTTTCAAATCAAGGTATATCCCACCATTGATCTGGAGTAAGTGCCATTATAGCCTGGCCAGGAGAATCTTTTAGTAACTTTACTTCTTAGGTTTTGTATCAGATTTTAAAGATCCAAAATTCCTTACTCTCAATGCTGGTTCCTTCAAAATATGTGAGTATAAAGATTAGAACCAGAGAGTAATGTTCTTTAGGGTTTTCTGGGCTACTGGGTGGATCTAAGTTGTAGGGTTGTGGCATCTTCCTGAATGTTTATGGGACAAACTATGGAATATAGGATGCAGAGCTCCAATATTCAAAGGACCAAGTATGATTCCGCTTCCTTCTCAGAGCTGCTGTTACTCCAGTAGATTACTCCAGTAGATCTTGGTCATAGATCATGACAGTGTGATTACGTGCCATCAAGTTGCTGTCAACTCTTAGTTCCTTCTTTTCACTCTTTATATTATTTCCCTTTGGAAATATGATTCCTTCTTTTGTCTTGCAATATGGCTGCTATTCTGAAGGTCTCCAGATCTGTTTTGTTGTTCATTTTTATGGTTTTGTTCTTATCAATATTTGTAATTATTATTCATCTTTTATTTCTTGTTTTAACCATATTTATTTTTCAGATGAGAATTCTGCTGTAGTTTAAATATATTGCTGTCCTTTCTTTAAACATGTACACACTCAAAGTACAATTTAAATAATCTGCTAAAATGCTCATTCAGATAATCCCATTGTCAATACTATGCGCCTCAGTTTAAGCCTATTACCTTTGTGACTGACACCTCTGAACTTTATTTTTCCTTTCATCATACTTTAAATATCTCACTCTAGTCACTGGATTCTTTGTTCATCAAGTTTAATTTTATTGTAAATTATATGTCTCATTTATCTAATATATTTTAATTACTTATTTTAACATAACTATGTAATATTTATATCTTTATCTAATATGTGATCACTTTATCTAATTGGTGTACAAACACTCTGTTCATGTTCTACCAGTTTTCCTCTTAAAATCCCACTCCCTTGTGCTATTTTTCCTGACCCGCTTCTCCTGTAGTTTGTTGTAAGTAGCGTTATCTTCCTTTATATATTCTAGCACTTCCTTATCTCACTCCAAAGCATTATGAATAACAAATCATTTTTATCTCTTGCATTTTCCTCTTGAAGTTCAACTTGTCTTTTTTCTTCCTAATCCTAAGTGATTTATTGAATTATTTGTTTTTCCTCCTTCCATACTCTCCAGGTTGCACAGTTTTGCTTTTCCATTCCTTCTTTGTCTTTTGACATATTTTGGAAAGGACCAGTAATCAGAGACTTAAAAACGTCTCTATAATTTTATCTGCATATGAGACATATATAGATAATATTTACCGATAAGAATATAGTCCTGCACTGGAAACAGATTGTCAAACTAATTTTCAACCAAATCCCCATTTTCTCATTCTCCTTCTTCAATCAATCCTTGTGAGAGTTTGACCCAGCATTATAATGCTCCTCATCTAGGCTAGCAGGACTGGGGATACTATACAGCACTTTACTGCAACTCCTATTATAAGGAAATCACTCATATATTTAAGAAGAATATTAAAGTTTATATTGATAAGCAATAAGGCATTTTTACCTGGTACAGCAACTCTTCTCAATTAAAAAAAAAAAGTCTGTAAGCTTACTATCTGTCCTTTACACTACTATTTGTAATTCTTTTCTGGAGTTCTGAATACATTGCAGGGTAAGCTTGAAGCAAATGCAGATACAGTAGCTCGTGGGTAGGTAGTCTTAAATTAACAGCAATGGAATGAAAATCTGCTTTTCTAGCTCTCTGATAAACAACCAAATCAATATCTCAACAACTGATCAGTATACTACCTAATTAGGGTACTCAGTTAGTGAAACAGAACTGTCATGAAAAGATTCCATTAGTGTCCCAGCCAATAAAAAAATAATGGATTTTTAAACATAACCTGCTGTACCAAGCTGCAATAGGGGGGAAAGGAGCTCAGGCAAGAAAAAGAACAGGTTGTGGCTCTTTTTTGCTATACTTTTCAGCTCCAAATGGAATTTCAACTGAACTGCAAGCATATCTTATAAAAGATGGTGTTTAAAATTAGTTAAATTCAGTAAGGTGCTCGTTGGGTATTCTTCACAAGGCATATGGAAAAAGTATGTTGCATTTCATACCTCTGATTTCATAAGAGAACTCATAATATATGTATGCACATTGATATACACAAGACTGAGGAAGTTGTAAAACTTGTAAAAATATGAAGATCATAGCTCACATCTCAACCATTAGCAGGACCCTAATTGAGAGCAGCTGTTTACCAAAGAAATACATGCTTTTCTTTGCAATTTGGGAATAATGTTTGATTTTTCATGGACAGCGTGAAAAATAGCCAGATAATTCCTGTAACTGTGTTACAGCAAATAAGAATTAAAACAAACTATACTGTGCTTTATCATTTAAGTTTTAGCACAAGGGCCAAGGCAAAGAGAATAAAGCCTGTTTGGATCTCAAAGCACTACTGGCAATTATATTCTTCTCAGGGCCTCTAAACTGCCAGCTCCATCTCCCTTTCTGTAAATCCTACTTTCGTATCCAGCGGCTGGGAGTGACTGCTTCTCTTTTCCTTCTGTAGAAACGGATAATCATCCTCTGCCTCTCTCTGTGCTGGGAAAAGCAAAATGGAATGTGGGACTTTGGGTCAGGAAGCAAACTAAAGACCCAGATCTTGGTGCCATCTGGTCTGCCAGGGTTTGGATAGAGCCATTCAGCACCTGAGCCACTATATTTGGTATACTGGATTCCATTCTGAATCTACCACTAAGAAAGGTTGAGGGGAGCAGGCGCTAGACTTTCAGAAGTGCTGTGAAAACCTCCACGGTGTTCAGGTAGTTATGTTTATTCCCTCAGTTAAAAAAATTCATTTTACACAGCTTATACTTAAGAAGCACTCAGATGTCCTCTCCCAAGACAGAATGGGCAAAGTTTCAATAGAAGTGAATTCAATAGAGGTGAAAGTTTGCTGGGTGATTGGTAAAAAGAGGGGGGAAAAGATTTATGGACGTAGTGCTGGGTTGGTTAAATACTGATGTTCACAAAAATCCTTCACCACTAGCCAAATAAATGTTAGACAAATTAATTCCATATTTCTATGGGATTTCAGGCAAATCCTTATGTCAACTGATTATTTTGTTCAGGTATTTGGAAGGCAACAGTGAAAGAAACAATGACACCAAGCCTTTGTAGAGAGTGTTTAGAAATAGCAGAAAGGAAGGTGTGAAGCTTTAGGTTCTTTGACTAAAGGTGAACTAAGCATGGGCAAAGTTTGCTGAAAAAAGTAACATTTGTATTCCGTGCTATATTTCTTGATAATAGTAAGACAACTGGTATCACAAGAGAATATGCCAGTCTTGGATTAGCCTACAAATATTCACAAAAGAAGGGGGAACAGATCAACATTAAATAAAAAATATTATGGTTTCTTTACTCATATCTACAATGAATCTTGTCCTGTTCAGTAGATCTCAAAAACATAATGGCTTAGCATTATGTATAAAACAATCAAGGTCAGCAGATGTTAATGCTAATTACAGCAATTACAGTTCAATATTTCATATAATAAATACAGAGTTAGGTGGTTATAAATGTTTCACATACCACTTCAGTTTGCCTTTCTGGCCTCCTGAGAACTACTAGTTGGATCATCCCCCGAATGTTTCCTTCCATAGACATAGAACGTCTCAAAGTCTCCATGGCTTCATGGTTTGATTTTCCAAGCAAAGATTCACTATTTACTGCAATAAGCTGGTCATTTATTCGTAACCGCCCATCCTACAAAATAAGAGAGTTACATATGTAAAAAAAAAAAAAATTAAAATATCACTCAACAATGTGTTAAATGCATTTTTTTAAAAAATGGAGTATTAAAGTTTCCATAAAATTCTATATATTCTAAAAACACAAATCTCCCATCACTGGAAAGACCTGGAAAGGCCCAGGTCAGTTTGGTTACTGGCTACTTCAAAATATTGGAAGAACCAGAAGCAACAAAATTTGGCAGAATTTTCATGATTACTATTATTATAAGCATATCCTAAAATCTATCTCAGCATTCTTCAGCACATAAAAATAAAAAGGCCATAGTATATCCCCAAAGCAGTGAGTTCGGAGCATTTAGGATTTCTGAACTTTACACCCAACTCTGAAATACACAGTGTAACAAAAGTCAGCCACCAGAGAAAATTTATTATATATATTATATTAAACATTCAAATTGGTTACAATTTTCTTCTAAACATTTCCTTACTGGTTTGATGCATGTTCATTGAACATCCCTAAATACAGTAACATTTTCTCTAAAAAAATATTAATAAAACATATTGTGATTGGCCTATGGGACCTGACTTTTGGTACATTATATATATACAATTTTCAGATATCTCACTCTTTCAACATCAGGAAACTATATGCTACAAACTTACAACAGATGATATAAGATCATAGACCTTAACATGGCCAGGAATAGCAACTCAGAAGAAGCTAGAAAATTATATAAATTCAGTCTATATGATACCACAGTAGCCTGGGAATCATTTCCATCAGCTTACTCTCTTGCAGGACTCTAGTATTATATGTATGAGCCTACAGAAGATGTTAAATATTGGCTGTCACTATGATCTATTTCTCTAATTGTGAATTGACCTATGGGGCCTGTATATTCCTTGCAGCACTCAACAAAATTTACCTAAAGTACCTAAATGAAATATTTGTAAATGTGTACCTTTTCCCCCATATATATGTGCATAGATAAATGTAAGAAGAAGAAATCTTTTTCAGAGGTGTGGCATATTTGTAACAGCCATTGTGTGTCAATGAAAAGAGCATCAGCTATTTTTAAAATAATTAGCTTAGTCATTCAAGTCCAAAGCTACAGATTTTATTTTTAACATGCGCACAAGAAAAGTGTTGCAAAGAGAAAGGCAGTTCATAGCACATGCCCAGTATATTATTGCTAAGAAACCTAAAAGAGAGACAGAAAAAAAAAAAGGATTAAAAATCAATGATGTTTCTGAAATAAGGTGTGGTAGAAGCTGTTGAAGCAGGGGTTCTTGTATGACAAGAAACGTTGAGCAGTAGTGAAATTGTTGGGACATGGGGGCAAAATGAAAATATTTAAAGGAAGAAAAACAAAGTAGAAATGATGACAATTGTCTGCTATAGTGTAGAAGGAATTTGCTTATACTTTGTTCACAATTAATTTGAAAGCCATAATGAGTATGTATCTTTTACCTTTTGGTTATAAATTCTATCTATCTATCTATCTATCTATCTATCTATCTATCTATCTATCTATCTATCTATCTATCTATCTTATCAAATGGCTTAGATATCGACAAGAATTATGCTGCATAGAAAGAGGTGTTGGATAATGTATCAGAATCCAGTTTTAAAACCACAGGTTCTTATAACGGCCGGGAGAATGAACAGAAGTGTAATAATTATTAATGACCCTGTAGTTACAATAGTTTGGTTTAATAAAGAATAGGTAGCTGAAGAGTTGTATTTGCTCAAGCATTTTGTTGCAGCTTGCTGGAAAAAAAAATCAAAACGAGTATCTAGTAGTTATATTCAAGATACCACAAAATTTGGTTCAAGTTTCCTTGTGGTGAATAAAAAAAAAAATCAAGAGTGTTATTCTTGTTCTTAGAATTCTCCAAACCTTTCTAAAACAAAATGACTATCCATAGCCAACATATCCACTGAATGTCAACAGAAAAACAGAAGGTCCAACCACACATGAACAGCATGCCCAGGTTCTTCTCTCAGTGGTCTAAGACCAGTGGTACACAGAAGCAGTCTAGGTGCCATTCAAAACCAGTCCATAGGGCTTCTCTGCTGGTTGTGCTGTCAGTGCATGTGACACAGAACTGTTAGTGCTTCCCAGTATCCTTCCAGCGTTTCTCTTCTCACATCATACCTCTTTCAGGCCCAGGAGGTTTTGCTCTACCAGCCTCTTCCTCTAAGTCCAGTTCACTTCTTTTGCATACATTGCCAATCCACCAGTTGCCTCTTTCCTGAGTTTTCCAATGTGTTTCTCTGGAAGCTAGACAGAACATGTGGCTTCAGTCAGCCAGCAATCCCCATCCCTCCTCAATCAATCAAGGAAGCTGTAGGGCAATCAGCCGGAGAAAAAAGAGGAAAAGGAAGGAAACAGCAACAGGCAGTACCTTAATGTACCCAGGGTTAGCTGCCTTTTCGAAACTCAAATGGCATCTCTTGGCAATCCCTTGGCACCAGTAAAACCTAATGGCTCTTCTCACAATCCTATTGTGGCTTTAGGCTTCTTCCGTCCATCTTTTTCAGACTATTTGTATTTAAGGCAAAAATACAAATACAAATGGGATGGAGAGAACCTTGGGGTGCCTTCAAAGCCATCATCCAAGTTTCAGTACAAGTCTGGTCAGAAGTAAATTCAAAAGAGCTTGTTGGGACTCCACTCCCAGATATGTGTACAAGGTGGAAGCATTATTATGTTGCAACCATACTTTTTGAATGTAACAACAAAATATCTGTAAACGTAAACATGCCCTCTCGGAAAACAGGCCTTTTTGTTTCTGTCATGGTGGGACGCTGTTTTTTTATTTTTTTTTACAGAGTACTTGGTGGAATTAATGTAAAAAACTGATTACCACTGGCCAAGAATTTTGGAGTTGGTTGTCATTGTTATGCAGAAAATATATTTTTCCACTGAAGCCCAACCAAACTATTTAAGCTCCAAATCAATGTCATATGCTGTTGGTCATAGATTGGATAAAGGCAGCTAAATTGAAGTGCAATCCAGACAAGTGTCCATGGTCAGTCTAAAAATCAGCTCAGGGAATGAAGCTTTGGATGAAATCATACTTTCTTTGAAGTCTCAGGTTTGAAGATTCAGTGTACTCCTAGATTTGTTATGTATGTGCATTCCTGGAGATGTCAGAACTAAATACAGTTATTTGAGCCTTAATTACACTCTGTTTGGACTTCAGTAAAATGTTCTGCCTTTGAAAATTGTTTGGAAAGCACAGAATGCTGTAGCCAGACTATTGACTAGGGCCAGGAGGTACAGAGAAGAGATGACTCTGATCTATTTCCAGGAACAATTCAAAGTACTAGTTATGATGTATAAACACTGACATCACTTAGGACCAGGTTATTTCAAAGCCTGTGTTCTCCATTACAGGTTTTCCTGGACTTTCAGTTCTTTGGAAAATACCTTTTCAAAATCCTCTTACAATCAGAGACACATTTGTTGGGGCACTATGTGTGGCTGCCCCAAGCTTTGAAATTACCTGCAAAGAGAGCATGCTTACAACCTCTGTCTTCTGCTTGGTTTGGTTGCTTTAATGTTACTTCTTTGTACTGATGTGTTTTAGACAACTTCTAACTATACCTTTGTGGGTTTTTTAATTACAAATGTGCTTGTTTTTTTAAAAAAAATCCTATTCTGGGCTGTCCATAGTGAGAACTGAGTGAGTAAGCACAAGAGACTGTTCTGTTTCTGATCCATAAATCCATCCTGAAATCTTTCCTCTGCTTAAAAGATTAGAGGAACTGGCAATGCATACAACTGCATAAGATCTTATACACCATATTCCAATTTTTAAAGTCCTTACATAAAGTGACATCACTTATAAGTGTTATTTAAACAGCTCTGCCCCGAAAATGTCTTTTTGTGTCATCCATATCCTAGGCACTCATTGCCTTAATAATATACAAAATGAGGTAAGTAAAAAGGGGCACACAATTTTTCCATCTTTAGTAGATCCTTTATGTTGTCTTCTAAAATGAACTATGCAGTCATTTATTCTTACATTTTTAAGAGAATCTGAAACAACGTTAATTAAGCCATCAAAAAGCATTAACCGAATGTGCATATTTAATGTTGGGAGGTATGCATCACCCCAATGTTCTGTTCCTATTTACTGGGCAAAGAGCACTGAAACTCATAGAACAAAGATAAATAACATGAGAACAGACAAAATAATGAGACTTAATTAAAAAAAATAACTTTAGGTTGAAAAAAGTACATTTATGTGACTATAGGACTACCTCTTGATCTTAAATACACAGCAGAGATTGCTTTCATCCTCCACAGTAAAGGTAATTTATCTTTAAGCAAAAGAAGTGTTAGAATATTGACCAAATCTTATACTGCGGAGTATGATATAACATGCATAGATGTGACAATAACAGTCTACTGTCAAGCCCAGCCTCAGTATTTTGACCTCTATTGCATTATAAATATATATGTTTATGATGGAGCTTATGCTCTGGACTCTCAAGAAAAGGGAAAGAGTTTAAAGTTGGACCTATTTTAACATTTAGCATCCCCACTGATTCAAGTTTACCTATAGCATACAGTATGTTTTCTATTTAAAACAAAGATATAGCAATCCTTAGTTTTTTAAAAATGATCTCTCTTAGAGACATTGCAACTCAAATTATTCATAATGATGACATAAATCTGAGGAAACCTAATATGGATTAAAAGGGTCTACAGTTCAAAAGGTCTCACACAAGTAGCATTGAAAAACCATTAGCCTGCTTACGATGAATTTGATTCAATCATGCATTCATTAAGAGTTTTCTATAAGCACTTGTCAGAGTTGCTTACATCTCTCATATGTCTTAGTAGTCCATAAAATGTGTATTTTCAATTCTAATATCCCAGTCAGTAAGGCATTCAATATATTCATGTTACATTGCTGCCAGGTCTGTCTGTCTGTCTGCCTGTCTGTCTGCTCGTCTACTCGCTCTATCTATCTATCTATCTATCTATCTATCTATCT